TTAAAAATAAGAATATATACAAATGTGAATAAATTCATAAAGTACAAAGCAGAGCCCTGATGAAGAACCTTTGTGCAAAGACCAATGAAGGGACTAAAAGAAATGATAGTGTCATAACCAGGACCGAAAAAAGAAATTTATGAGAATTTAGGAAACAGATTTGAGATCAAGCAGAGAGTTCTGATACTGTAGTAATGGGAGACTTTTACTTTCTAGTTATCTCTTCCTCTCCCTCCTTCTATGTCTCTTTCCCTCTTCCTCCTCTCCCCCCCTTCTCTCTGTCTGTCTGTGTGTATGTGTGTGTCTCCCCTCTTCTACCAAAAATAAAGCTGGTGATCAGTTCTCGATTTGTCTTAATGATAATTATACTCTTCAAAAAGAAAACTGGAAGAAGCAACCAAGGAAACTGCTGTTCTAGACCTAAATCTCACCAATAAGCAGGAATACTTGGAACTTAAGGAGGATATGATTATTCTTCCCGACAATGAGTGACAGAGGAGAGGAAAGCCAGGCATAGACTGACAAACACCCTAGACTATGATAGAACAAATTTCAAAGAGTGGAAAGGAAGGATAAGTGGGATCCATGACCTAAAACCCTAAAGAGGAAGTCTACTCTAAGGAAATGGGAAGCTCTCAAGAATAAAATTTAATGAACACTAATGATTACGATGAGTAAGAAAAGGGGGAGCTATCTAAAGAGAGCCAGATGAACACAAAAGAAATTAATTGACCAATTTAGAGCTTTAAAAGGCCAGACACAAAGAGTACTTACTAAAAGATTAGCATCCACTTAAAGAATCCTCTGGTGGAGGAATGCTAAGGATCTGTTCTTGGCCCTACGTGCAACATTTTTATCAATGATTTAGATAAAGGAATGTTTTCTATTCAGTCATTTTCAGTTGTTTCTGATTCTTCATGACCCCTTCTTGGCACAGATACTGGAGTGGTTTGCCATTTCCTTCTCCTAGCTCATTTTACAGATGAGGAAACTGAGGCAAACAGGGTTAAAAAACTTGCCCAAGGTCACATAGCTAGTAAGTGTCTGAGGCCAGATTTAAATTCAGGTCCTCTGGACTCCAGAGCTGTCACTCTATCCACTGCACTACTTATTTATCAAATCTGAAGATGATACAAAGCTGAGAGGTATAACTAACATATTAGGTAACTCAGTCACAATCTAAACAGATTTCAACAGGTTAAAACAATGGGTCAAATCTAATAAGATTAAATTAAATAAAGATAAATGTAAAATACTTCACTTGGTTTCTAAAAATTTGCTTCATAAATACAAGATCATCTGGTTACATAACAGTTCATTTGGAGAAGATCTAAGGGTCTGAGTAGTCTGCAAGTTCAGTGAAACAACAACGTTAATTGGAAGCCAAGAAAAAAAACCACTCTAATATAATCTTAGTCTTCATTAAGAGACATAATACACAGAATAAGCCATATCTATAGCACAGATGTACCTAAGTATCCTGGCCCCTGGGGCAAATTCAGTTGGCCAGGGTTAGAGAGCAATGGAGGTAATTCAATTAGGGGCAACACATTTTAGGAAAGATACTGACAAACTTGGACAAGTCCAGAAAAGCACCACTAGGGTGCTGAGGGGCATTACAGACCACGCCAAACATCTGTCAGTTGAAGGAACAAGGGGTATTTAACCTAGAGAAGATTTAGACATGACATGTCTTTATATATTTAAAAATCTGTCATGCCCAGTGCACATAGTTGGCACTTAATAAATGTTTATTGATGGATTGATGTGGAAGAGAAATTACATTTGTCTGGCCCTCAAAAAGCAGAAGTAGCAGCAATGGCAGTCACAGAGAGAGACATCATCTCCATGTAAGAAAAACTTTCCTATAAGCTGTCCACAAACGGATATCATGAGACAGTAAGATAAACCCATCAACCCATAAGCATTTATTAAGAACCTGCTGTGTTCAAGGCACTATGCCAGGCACTAGAGATAGAAAGGCAAAGAAAGAAACAATTCCTGCTCTCAAGGAGTTTTTATTCTAATAGGGGAGACAAGTATATGTGTATATATAGATATATAGATATAGATATAGACATAGACATAGACATAGACATAGACATACATATACATATACATATACATACATATACATATACATATACATATACATATACATATACATATACATATACATATACATATACATATACATATACATATACATATACATATACAGAATAAGTACAAGAAGAATGAATACAGTTAAAAACAAAATTAAATACAAGGTAGTTTTCAGGGCAGCGAGGTGGCGCAGTGGATTGAGCACCAGGCCTGGAATCAGGAAGACCTGGGTTCAAATATGGACTCAGACACTAGCTGTGACACCCTGGGCAAGTCACTTAACCCTATTTGCCTCAGTTTCATCATGTGTAAAATGAGATGGAGAAGAAAATGGTAAACTACTCCAGTATCTTTGCCAAGAAAGCTGCAAATGGGGTCAGACATGACTGAACAACAATAACAAAAGTTTATGAGGGAGGACATTAGAAAAGCTCAGTAAGGTTTTATGTAAAAGGTGGTGTTTCAGTTGCTTCCTTTTTTTTCCATTGTACAGTAAATACTTTTAATGACATAACATTTTCATTTTTACAGACGAAATCGTTAAAAGGCTTTTCGCTTTCAGAAATGTCCATGAAAGGATTTGCATGTCTGTCAAATGTGAGATTAGAATTAAATTGGTATGCTTTGCAATTAAAATCACAGATCAGCAAAATCATATTATAGGTACTGAAGCTTGAGCTGATTCTTGAAGGGAGAGAAGGGATTTTGTGAAGCAGAGGTGAGGAGGGAGGGCACTCCAGGCATGGGGAACAGCCAGTGCAAAGGTAGAGGTGGGAAATGAGTGCCACGGGTGAGGAACAAAGAAGGCCAGTTAGGCTGGATCATACAGTATGGCAGGGGTAGTAATATACAATAAAGTTGGTAAAGATAAGTTGGGACAACGTCATGGAGAGCTTTAAAAAACCTTAGTTGGTAAAGATAAGTTGGACAACGTCATGGAGAGCTTTAAAAAACCTAACAGAGAAATTTATATTTTATCCTAGAGGCAAAAGTGAGCCAACTGAATTTACTGAATGGGGAGTCACGTGATCAGATCTACCCTAAAGCAACATCACTTTGATGGCCACATGAAGAATGGACTGGGGTGGAGAGAGTTTTGGGACAGGGAGACCACGTGAGGCCATTGCAATAACATAGGTAAAACGTGTTCTACAGGTGATTTCTGTTCAGGTAAAACCTGGACTGCATGACCTCTGAGGTTCCATTCAATTTTGAAATTCTGTGGTACAATGATGCACCTCCTCATCTGCCTTCATGATTCCCCTACCCTGCTATCTACATACCCACTGCATCAGAATAATTTTTACCTTGCCTCAGACATTCTTATCCTTCCTCTTAAAAGGACAGAAAAGCCCAAATTAGGAATAATTCATTTTCTGCCTTGCTACTAGACTCTAGCAACAATTCTCATCATGCTGAATATGGCAAGGTCCTCATCCATCCCTTTCTTGGAAGCATTTGATTTGATTACTCATCTGCTTTCAGGGGCCTCAGGGAGCTGCCAAGAAGAAGCCGGCAGCTCTCCAAGCCATGCAGTCTTATCAGCTATGTTTACATGTCAGAATGAAGCCTGGTTCCTTTGGTAGAGTTATACCAAAGTACTTCATTCCTTCCTGCTGTAGGAAGAAGGGAGATCACCTGGTCAGAGATTGCTCTCCCACTGTCCTTGGGACACATCAAAGCCGTGTATTTCTGCTCACCAGCACTACAGCCTGAATCAAGATATTCTAAGGCCAGATGGGAAATCAATACATAAACATTTCCAAGCCAGGCCACTACCCAAAATCAATGGCGTTAGGTAGACAGATGACGGCAGAGCAGATGTGACCTCCAGACTGCTGACAGCCACTACCGGCAGAACCTGATCCCTTTGTTTGGGGAGAGAGAGCTGTTACAGAGCACAGAGAAGCCAGGGTCCCCGGATCCAAATCCCAGCACATGTCCTGCTGGCTTCTGCTCAGCTTTACTGGTTTCCACAATCTCCTTTGCTTCCTGCTGTATGGTGGATTGGAGGCTGGCTATAGACAGTGAAACAGCTGCTGTGGCCTTGTAATCTCTTCTCTACAACAACCTTTTCCAAGAGGGCTATCGTGAACTTCCAGGGATCCCAAAACTAAAAAACTAATAAAAAGCCAGCAATGACTCCCTAAGCAGTACAATAAGCATGTGCCACAAGATTTAGCATCTTGGGGACCATCTAGTTCATGGCATCAAACTCAAATAGTAACAGCTTGGCCACGAATTGATTTAGAATATCACAGATGAACATTATCTATGTTGCACTGTATGTTTATGTATTTTGTTAAGCATTTCCCAATTACATTTTAATCTGGTTCCTGCGGCACTCAGAAGTTTTGTGGTGGTTCAGAGGGCAGCAGCTGACACCTCTGATCTTGTTCACAGGTTCATCACTCAATCGTCAAACCTAGAATTGGAAGACACTCTCTAGCCCAACCCCCAGTAACTGAGGTCTACGCTGGCTAAGTGACTTGCCAAGGTCACACAGATAATAAGTGGCAAAGCTGGGATTTGAACCCAGTTCCTCTGACTCCAAATCTAGCATGCTTTCCTATGAGCCACAGAGACTCCCTGAATACTCTTATTTTACAGATGAGGAACTCGCTGTGAAGGTCACAAGCATATACAAGCATGAGAGGCAGAATTGGAACTCGCATCCTCTGATTCCAAAGTTAATGCCCCTTCCACTGCACTAGAATCGAGGTACTAGGAACTCAGTCTTACCACTCCAACCTGCTTCCTCAGAGGAGCTGTGAACTCTTATTGTGAGCTAGCTATTTCCATTCTAAAACACCAACACCTGCTTCCTCTATTTGACACGCAGGGTTACAAAAGTTAGTTGGTTCATTTCCTAAACATTGTAGCGATCCACTTACTCATTCTTCTCCAGGTCCAAGATGAGGTCTTTCCCTTCTGCGGTTATCCTGAGTTCAGCTTTGAGGGGATGCTGAAAACAATAAAGAAAGAATGTCAGCTCCCTGAGAGAAGGGCCTGGGTCCCACAGATGTTCAAGGCAGGGCTGAGCGCAGAGGTTCGACACCAAGTGACAGTGAGCAAGAAAGGGACAGTTCGCTCCACAGCTGACCAGACTTCCTTAATAAAAAGCAGCCGAGACCAGCAACCACCAGCGCCTTCTGTCCACCTTTTCCTGAAGGACGAAGGAAACATAAAACAAGAAATTCAGTCCAACAAAAGCCGCACCATTGAAGTGCATGGGGGACCAGGGGCGTCAAGAGAAAATGTTAGGAAAGAGACAAGTTTTATTGTACTGAATGGCAAAGACAAGCGTGTCTCACTAGGACAAAGAAGACCAAATCCCTCATTTGGCTGCAATACATTTTTGCACTCAGCTTGAATATTACTGTTCCTATAATTATTAGGAAGAATTCATTAATAATTAGGACAGAAGCTTCAGTGCTTATGAGAAATAGGATCACATCTCATCTAAGCTTTGTATCTCTACCAGTGTCTAACATATGTCACACGCAGTAGGTATTTAATGACTATTGGCTTTAAAATTCTAGGATTCCACAATTCTATGATTCTAAGTACTATGGCTAATTTTTGTTGTTGTTAAGACATTTTTAGTTGTATCTGATTCTTTGTGACCCCTTTTGGGGTCTTCTTGGTAAAGATGCTGCAGTAGTTTGCCATTTCCTTCTCTAGCTCATTTTACAGATGAGGAAACTGAGGCAAACAGGGTTGAATGACTTGCCAGGGTCACACTGTTAGTATTGTGCTATGCCTTTCTCATGGGATTATTATAAGGCTTACATGATATAACGGAGGCCCTTTGTAACCATAACATTTTCAATCAATAACAATTACTATTAATGGTAGTTACAAATAAAATATTATTAGCTGACATTGATTTGATATTTTATGTGATCAGTGTTAGCTATTAATAACATTCACAACTGATTTGGCACCTTATGGCAACAGTTTTCATAAATAATTATAAATATTATTATTATTAATAATAGCTCACATTAATTTTATACTTTCTGGTTGTAAAGAGCCTCACCTACATTGTATCAGGTGAGCTTTAATAACCCAGTGACAAGGTATAGTACAACAAATACTTATTAAACACCTACTGTACGCAGGGCACTGTGCCAGAGACACCACTCTCCTAAACATTCACAGGCACTGGTTACTGACCAGAGACACCTAGAGTGGAGGAATACGACACATGTTACATATACTCTACAATATGATTGATATAAGTGCATTTGGGAGTTGCAACAGAGTCCTCTGTAAGGCCTAAGGAGGACAGTGATTAACAAACTGGGGCGGGGGGGGGGAGATCAGAAAAGGCTTCTTGGAGAAGGTGACATTCAAGCTGGGTTTTAAAAGCTAGGCAGGAATGTAACAGGCAAGGAAGAAGAGGAAAAGCATCCCAGGCACAGGGAGCAGTGTGAGCAAAGAACACAGACATGAGAGCACAGAGCTTTTTGGCAGGGTCAAAGAGCTGTGAGCTCAGAGACTGGAGCTCAGAGGCTATAAGAGGAGAAATATCAGATAGGAGGGCAGACAGGCTGATGGCACTGTGTTATGGGGGGAAGGGCTGTGAATGCCAATTAAAGGAGCTCTACCCTATTAGGTAAGGGGATAGGGAGTTACTGACTATCTTTAAATAGATGAGGGGCATAAGTATTGTCTAAGCATCAGAAGGAATACTCTGGCAAGGATCTATCAGGTATAGGTTGCAAGGCAGAAAGAGCAGACCTAGGGAGAACTAAGAGGTTGATCACCATAGTTTGGAGCTAACAATCTGTTTGGAAGGTTCAAGTACTCAGCACTGAGTCAAAGCTTATCATCTTCCACTGTGCCAAGTTCAGAAGACGCCTCAAACTATGGCTACAAGGAACAAATAAAGAGTGAGAAGCCTTCTGCCACACATTATTCTAAATATATTTTATATCCATATCTCCATGTATGTTATTCAGTTAATCAAACAAATGTAAGACATATATTTTGTAGAAAGAAAATTAAGCCATATTTTATACAAGTAGCAATAAGTGGAATAATGAGTGATTGTGCCTGCAACAGTTTGCCATTTCCTTCTCTAGCTCATTTTACATATGAGGAAACTAAGGCAAACAGTGTTGAGTGACTTGCCCAGGGTCCTCTGATAGTATAGTACTATGCCTTCCTCATGAGGTTATTGTAAGGCTTACATGATATAATGCAGGGTCTTTGTAACCATAAAATGGTCACATAGGTGTTTTGGTGCCACGATCTCAGCCCAGTACGGCAAATTCGACCTCTTGGGTCACTTGTCTACCCCCTCTGCAGCTATCCTAGTTCAGGCGATCATCTCTTTCCATCTAAATAACAATAGCATCTTTAGTGGCCTCACTCCTTGAGTGCATCCCCTCTCCAATCCCCCTGAGCAATCATATTAATGATCACTATGATGAGGTCATTCTATTATTCAAAAACCTTCAGTGTCTCCCCACAGTCTAATACATAAAGGCCTGAACCCGATGTCCAAGGCCTTGTACAATCTGGATCCAATTGATCTTTCCAGCCTGATTTCATATTACTGCCTTTCATGTGTTCCATGGACCTCTTTCTGCCCTCTCTTCTCATCCTGCCCTCCCCTAGCTCCATGCCTTTGTTCAGGCCAGAAAGCATGTTTGGAATGGAACCCCACCATCACCACCACTACTACCCTACCCAGTCTCCATTTGGTGAAGTCCCTCCATGATGCCTCCCTGATTGTTTCCTTCACTCTGGATGAAAGCGATCTCTCCCTTCTCAAACATCTCACAGCACTCTGCCTGCTTTCCCTTGGATTCCATCTCATTCTATTTGTATTTTATGAGAATTACAGAATCTCAGAATTGGAAGGGACCCCAAAGGCCATCTAATTCAACCTCTGCATCCCTAACAAGTGGTCATGCCGTATTTGCTTGACACAAATGCTCTACTGAGGCGAGACTCACCATTTTCTGAGGCAGTCCATTTCACTATGGGACAATTCTAATTCTTAGAAAGTTTTTCCTGACATCTAGCTCAAACCTGTTACTCTCGAGCTTAAAATCATATGATCAAAGATCTTGAACCAAAAAGGACCTGAGAGATCACCTAGTCCAATCTCCTTATGAGGGATGTGCAGTTGGAGACACAGAAATGTTAGTTAGGCAACTCACCCAAAGCTAGTAATGAGCAGAACTGAGATTTGTACCCAGCTTACTGGTCCTCAAATTCAGGGCTCATTCCCATATGCCAACCAACCTGCCTCTCCCATTGTTCCTAATTGCCTTCTGGGACCAAATTGAAAAAACCTAATCCACAAGAAAGTGAGTCATAAACTTGAAAACAGCCACTACATTCTCCTCTACCCCCACCCTCCACTCCAAGTCTTTTCTCTGGGCAAAACTTTCCCAGGTTCTTCAACTGATCCTTACATGACAGGATTTTGAAACTCTTCATCATAATAGCTATCCTTTTCTGGGTATTTTAGCTGATTCATGTCCTTCCAGATGTGACTTATTGGGCAGTCACCTCCTTCATTTTGGAACTATGCCTCTCTTCAGTGCTGCCCAAGACAAGTTCATTGTTTTGACTGCCATGTCCCACTGTTGATTCATGTTGTATGGGTTGGACCAGATAACCACTGAGATCTTTCACCTCCCAAAGCCTGTGATTCTGTGATTCTCTGACTTTGCAATCCATTAAAACCCTCATATCTTTTCCAACAAACTGCTATCTAACCAGCCCTCCCCATCTTATATTTGTGAAGTTGACTTTTATAACCCAACTGCAAATTAATCATAATTAAAATTTATCTCTATTAGATTTAGTCCATCGTCTTAGCCTATCAACATCTTGTTGGATCTGGATTCTATGACCCTGTGTATTAGCCTTCCCTCCCAGCTTTGGATCATCTGACATTCTTTAAGCATGCCATGTATGCCTTAATGCAAATTACTGATGAAAAAAAAAATGTTCAGCAGCACACAGTCAAAGATGACACTCGCCTGAAGACCCTTCATCTTAAAATATAAACCATTAATGATCACTCTTTGGTTCTGGCCATTCAACCAATTCTGAATTCTCTTAACTGTACTACTGTCCACTCCATCTTTTAATCTTTCAATCTTGTCCTTTAGGAGACTGAGGTCCTAAATCTAGGATCCTACAATGCCTTCTTCCCCTTGACCTCCATGATCTTGCTCCAAATTTGTCAAGTTATATTGCTGAAAGACAGATAAACTGTATCTACATGCACATTTCCCTCATCTACCAGTCTAGCAACTCCATCAAAAACAAATGAGGTTAAGGTAACATTGATCTATTCTAGAGAAAGCAAAAACAAATGAGGTTAAGGTAACATTGATCTATTCTAGAGAAAGCCGTATTGTTTCTTTCTCTTTTTTTCTGGATGTTTACAAACTATCCCTTTAATAATACATTCTAGAATTTTTCCAGGAACCAATGTCAGGCTCATTGGCTAAACTCTGCTGACTCTGCTCTTCCTTCTTTTGAAAGTCAGGGTAACATTTGTTCTTCTCCAGTCCCACTCCAACTCTCTCATCTCCCATGAACTTTCAATGATTCAGCAGTCATCTTTGCTAGTGCTTTTGCGTTTCATGGGATGTGGTCCATCTGAGCCTGATGACATGAATTCATCCAAGGCAACTAGATGTTCTCTATTATCTCCTGACTTATCCTAGGTTTTAACTCCCTAATAGCTACTTTTTGCTCTGTGCTTTCCAATACAAAGATCATTCTTCTTGGTAGAGAAAACAGAAGCAAAAAAAGAGTCATGTAATTCTATCTTTTCTCCATCATCCATAAGAATTTTCCCATCTAACCCAAACAGAAGGCTTTTCCTCTTTTTTAGTATTCTTTTCCCCAATGTAAGGGCTTTTTTTTAAAACCACCAATACTATTTATTGTTCTAAGTATTCCTTTTGTTATTCAACTGAACTTTAA